CTCTATGTTGTGTCAACGCTTCCGCAGTCGGTCTGCGTGGGTACGTAGACAGCACTCTCCCCTCTCGTTGCTATGCATCACATGATCTTGCGTGTGCGTAGGAATTTTTTTGAAATTACTACGAAACCCAACACATCCAACCATAAAAGCGCATGACAACCTCTGCTTCCCTCTGTGAAGGGCCTATCTTTTACTTTTATCTCCTGCCTTACATAAGAGTCATGGTGATCTTCACCCTTCCTTTTTACATTTTATCTTTTGGCAAGCACAACATGTTGGAAAGATCCTGGTATATATGGCTAACTGGATGTGAGTTTTCATGAACTATTATTGTTGACATTACCCTTGAGGTAAAACGTTGGGAGGCAAAACTATAAGCCTCTATCTTTCTCTGTGTCCGATTAAAACTCCATACCCATAAGTATTGCGTGAGTGTTAGCAATTGTGAAAGACTATATGATAGTTGAGTATGTGGACTTGCTGAAAAGCTCTTATATTGACTCTTTCCTATGTTATGATAAATTGCAATTGCTCCAATGACTGAGATTATAGTTTGTTAGTTTTCAATGAAGTTTACGATTCATACTTAAAATTGTGATTGAATTGTTACTTTAGCATAAGAGATCATATGAAAAGAATTATATAAGTTGTTGTTCTAAGAATGATCATGATGTTCTCATGTCCGTATTTTATTTTTATCGACACCTCTATCTCTAAACATGTGGACATATTTTTTGATTTTGGCTTTCGCTTGAGGACAAGCGAGGTCTAAGCTTGGGGGAGTTGATACGTCCATTTTGCATCATGCTTTTATATCGATATTTATTGCATTATGGGCTGTTATTACACATTATGTCACAATACTTATGCCTATTCTCTCTTATGTTACAAGGTTTACATAAAGAGGGAGAATGCCAGCAGCTGGGATTCTGGGCTGGAAAAGGAGCAAATATTAGAGACCTATTCTGCACAGCTCCAAAAGCCCTGAAACTTCACGGAAGACATTTTCAGAATATATAATAAATACTGAGCGCAAGAAGTTCACCAGGGGGGCCACACCCTGCCCACGAGGGTGGGGGCGCGCCCCCCTACCTCGGGGGCCCTCTGGTGGCCCTCCGATGGCCATCTTTTGCTATATGGAGTCTTTCGATGAGAAAAAAAATCATAAGCCATCTTTCCGGACGAGACTCCACCGCCACGAGGCGGAACCTTGGCGGAACCAATCTAGGGCTCTGACAGAGCTGATCTGCCAGGGAAACTTCCCTCCGGGAGGGGGAAATCATCACCATCATCTTCACCAACGCTCCTCTCATCGGGAGAGGGCAATCTCCATCAACATCTTCACCAGCACCATCTCCTCTCAAAACCCTAGTTCATCTCTTGTATCCAATTCTTGTCTCTAAGCCCGGGATTGGTACCCGTGGGTTGCTAGTAGTGTTAATTACTCCTTGTAGTTGATGCTAGTTGGTTTATTTGGTGAAGATCATATGTTCAGATCCTATATGCATATTAATACCCCTCTGATTATGAACATGAATATGCTTTGTGAGTTGTTACGTTTGTTCCTGAGGACATGGGAGAAGTCTTGCTATTAGTAGTCATGTGAATTTGGTATTCGTTTGATATTTTGATGAGATGTATGTTGTCTCTCCTCTAGTGGTGTTATGTGAACGTCGACTACATGACACTTCACCATTATTTGGGCCTAGAGGAAGGCATTGGGAAGTAATAAGTAGATGACGGGTTGCTAGAGTGACAGAAGTTTAAACCCTAGTTTATGCGTTGCTTCGTAAGGGGCTGATTTGGATCCATATGTTTCATGCTATGGTTAGGTTTACCTTAATACTTTTGTTGTAGTTGCGGATGCTTGCAATAGAGGTTAATCATAAGTGGGATGTTTGTCCAAGTAAGGACAACACCCAAGCACTGGTCCACCTACATACCAAATTATCAAAGTACCTAACGTGAATCATATGAACATGATGAAACCTAGCTTGACGATATTCCCATGTGTCCTCGGGAGCGCTTTACATCATATAAGAGTTTGTCGAGGCTTGTCCTTTGCTACAAAAAGGATTGGGCCACCTTGCTGCACTTTATTTACTTTTATTACTTGTTACTCGTTACAAATTATCCTATCACAAAACTATCTGTTACCTATTGTTTCATCGCTTGCAGAGAATACCTTGCTGAAAACCGCTTATCATTTCCTTCTGCTCCTCGTTGGGTTCGACACTCTTACTTATCAAAAGGACTACGATAGATTCCCTATACTTGTGGGTCATCAGTGGGCTAATCGTGATCTTGGTTGGTATGATTGTATATTTTATTTATAGTGCTGTCCTATGGTGCCCTCCGTGTCGCGCAAACGGAGGGATCCCCGCTGTAGGTTGTTGCAATATGTTCATGATTCGCTTATGGTGGGTGGCCTGAGTGACAGAAGCACATACCCTAGTAAGTTGGTTGTTGCGTATGGGAGTAAAGAGGACGTGATACTTAATACTATGATTGGGTTTCACGACCTTAATGATCTTTAGCAGTTGCGGATGCTTGCTACAGTTCCAATCATAAGTGCATATGATCCAAGTAGAGAAAGTATGTTAGCTCATGCCTCGCCCTCGTATAAAATTACAAGAACAATTACCAGTACTTGTTATCGATTGCCTAGGGACAAATGACTTTCTTGTTGACAAAAGCTATCCACTTTTATTGCCTTGCAATTTATTCGTAGTTTTATTGTCGCAAAGTACTCGTAGTTTTATTCTTACAAAATAGTTTTATACTTGTTTTAGGTAAAGCAAGCGTCAAGTGTGCGTAGAGTTGTATCGGTGGTCGATAGAACTTGAGAGAATATTTGTTCTGCCTTTAGCTCCTCGTTGGGTTCGACACTCTTATTTATCGAATAAGGCTACAGACGATCTCCTATACTTGTGGGTTATCACTAGGCATCAAGAATAGATGCAAAAGATGCCACATTTTAGGCCACATGCAGTCCATCTGTCCGTTGAATGGACCAAGGCCAAGGTACATGTAATGATCTATGTTTATTTCATCATTTGTAATGATCAATGTTTATTTCATCACTTATTTTATTGTGTACTAACTTGTTTATGTGTAGGAAAAGAAAGAAGAGAGCACCAAGATATCCAGCTGATGATGATGCCTCGGCACCGGAACCTGAAGTGGCAGCCTAACAACCTGAAGTTGTTGTCACTCCCAATAGGCACACGATCACTATGCCACAAAGTCTTCAAGGCAGCCCCATTCCGGTGACAAGAAGGTAACACATCCACATACTATAGTAATATCTAATTTTCCTTGCAATTCTTACATTTCTCAATACATGCAGGATGTTGGCTACGATGTTGGCTGATGAGACAACACATGTAGCACCACAACTTGAAGTTGTTGTCACTCCCAATAGGCACATGATCACTATGCCTCATAGTCTTCAAGGCAGTCTCAATCATGTGACAAGAAGGATGTTGGCTATGGCATTGGCTGACGAGGCGTCGCAGCAACCTACCTCAACCGTGGAGGACACCATGATTGCATATGACATGGTCTCAAGCTCAAAAGCTAGAAAGTTGACCCCGAAGAGAAGGAAGTACTAGTGTTGTGTTCGATCTTCTCTATGCTTTTGGTTGTAATATCTATGGCAGCAACTATTGCCTTATGCTTTTGGTTGTAACGTGGCAGCAACTATTGCCTTATACTTTTGGTTGTAATCGTGGCAGCAACTATTGCCTTGAGGTAGATGAGATATGGATATGATGTATGGACATGTTAATGCTTTATCTTGCTATGTTCTCTTCATATTGTGTCATGGCATATGAATATATCCATCTGGAAATATATGTTTGAATTTGGATATTATGTGCACAAATTTGTTGAAAATCGAAAAAACAGTCAAAATGTTATCCAAATTGAGCCAGATTGCTGCCAAAATTTTGATTTTTTTCGAACCACCCAGAAAAAATTAAAAAAATTCCATAAAAACAAACATAAAAGTGCGCCTAATCTGAGAAAGTTTCATAGAATTTGGATCAACGGTTCCATGCATTTCAATTACAGTTTAACTAGTTTGACCAATTTTTTACCGAAATTTGAAAGTTGTCAGAATAATTTCAAAAAATTACAGAATAATTGTTCATATATGCATAACTAATCTGGGAAAGTTTTATCCAATTCGGATTAACGGTTCCATGCATTTCAACTAGTCTGAACAAATTTTGACCAAAATTTGACGAGGAGCAACAGGGGAAGGAGAGACTGTACTAGTTGGGACAGTGGTGGCAGGGTATGAGGTGCAAGAGGGGGCAGCGTCAGCAAGGCAGCAAGGCCGACGAGGAGCAGCAAGGCAAGGGCCAGCGAGGGGCAATACAAAGGTGCGGGAGAGAGGAGTGGAGCACGAGTTCATCCTTCCCGTGTGTTATGTTTGGGTCAAACAGGTAAAGGGCATAATAGTCCTCTATTTTGTTCACTTATGTTGTGTATTATTTACAAAGTTGTTTTTGTGTTGAAAAGTGGCAAAAGATCAAAGTCCAAACAAAAGAGTGTCACTAGATCAATTACAAGATAACGGGTGGCAAATTATCAAAGTCCAAAGAAAGAGGTGGCAAATAATCGAAACCCCCAAAAAATACACTACAACGCATGATGGCTTAGAGAATCTTAGTTTCTTGGAGACGTAGCGTTTGGGTTGGTCTCTGGAAGAGATTTTGTGAAGTTTAAGTTGAAGGACATCAGAACAGCCCATAGAAGACGGTACATCACAGAAGGTGTCATCGACGAGTACTATGTCCTGCAAAAAAAAGAGAGAAGAGAAGCACTATACCATCATCAACTACTGAAACAAAGGAGCATTTGTCAGTCCCAGCCCATCTCGTTCCAAAACCCTTTAAACCCTAATCCTTCTTCTATCCATCCATTCCCCTCCCTGCTCTTGCCCAGCCCCGCCTCCATGCTCACCTGAGCAATCCCGCACAGCCCCATCCGCCATGGCCTCCTCCAAGCTCCTGACCACCGCCGTGAGCTCCTCCATCCGGCGCTTCTACCGCCTCGCCTCCTCCCCCCTCCTGCCGCCGCCCGCCTCCCGCCGCCTCCCGGTGCCACTCCTCTCCGCACGCTTCTGCTCCGCCGCAACAGCAGCCGCCCCCGCGCCGGTGGATGCCGCCTACTCGGCCGTCGCCGCCGCCACGGCAGCCGCCCCCGCGCCCGTGGACGCCGCCTACTCCGCCGTCGCCGCGGTCTCCGAGGGCCACCCGTGGCCGGAGTGGGCCGACTTCCTCGAGAAGCTGCGGGCCAAGGGGTACTTCGTGCGGCCCCCCCTCGCCTCCGGCGCCCCCGTGGGGGAAGAGGTGGCCGCGGATGCCGTGGGCAAGCCCGACTACCCCTTCAGGGACCAGAACAGGGTGAAGAACGCGTGCCTCAACTTCGCGCGCGAGCGCTTTGATCTTCTCAGGTTCGCAGCCGCGAGATGCATACTCATCTTCTAGCTCGGTCGTGGCTTGCTTGCTTTTGTGCATGAATTGGTCTTTATTTTGTTGCATACTCTGCCTAGTTGGTGATGCATCACTTTAATTGGAATATGCTGCTCTCCAAATGGTCGGAGACTACCAAAATGATCATGTACATACACGACTGAGTGGAAGTACCGCAAGAACTGCTAAACTGGGCTATGGCCTGTTGAACATTGCTCTAGTTCCTCCTATATTGCTAACTTTTTTGTAGCTTGATGCATTTAAGTTAATTTGCTAATGAAGTTCTTACTGCACTTCTGCTCCATACTTAGCATGTTTAATAGAAAAATCACTTCCAATGATTACAGCCTTGGAGCATCAGCTAAATTCATTACTGCCGCTATTTGATAAACAATTGTTGAAGTCATGATCCTAGTTGTAGGATTCTATGATTCTGTAATCCCACAGACACCACACCAATATGACTTAAATTGAGCCCTGAATTGTACTTGGTACCTGGTAGGATTTTACTGGAGCCGCGATCCTAGTTGTGGTCTTGTGTAAGCCTGTGGTAGAATCATCCATACTCCCAGACCTAGTGTGTTTGGTTGTGTTCCATCCCTCAATTCAAATTGGATTGTAAGTACTAGCTAAAAAACATTCAGATTTGGAGGTCTGGAATAAAAAAATATTAATGATGGTTTATTTATTATTTGATTTTTATGCATTATATGGTCTGGTAACCACAAAATTGGCACAATTGACATTCCTATCATGGCTTCAACAATTACTTGCAGAATGACACAAAACAAACATGGTAGAATTGTAGACAGTGAACTGATCTGAAAATGTGCCCTACCACACTTTCCTAGGTCCGATACTGGACATGCGAACCTTGCCGTAATGATTAAATATTATCCAGAGAAATTATATTCCAATTCATGTTGGGGTCATGGTTGTCAGCAATTTAACAGTGATTCTGTGACCAGTAACTGAATCTTTGAACTGATTGTGCCTACTAACTTTGTAACTACTTTTATGTTTCTTGCTTGACTGGAATTTAATTTGACTGCGTTATTATCACAGCTCTCTTCCCAAGAAGGATATTCAAGCTATTGTCGAGTGTGGTTGTCCTAATATCTTCCGAAAGGCTGTCAGTTCTGCAAAAAGGCTGAGAGAATTTGTGCAGGTTGACGAAGGAGATGTAAGTTGGTGTGCTCTTTCTTCAGTATGTGTTTCCTGTTAAAATGGGTTGTTGATTTTCTTTACATATACGCTGTTGATTTTCTTTACATATAGCAGGCTCCTTTCTTTACTCACAGTTTGATATCAGAAAAAGGGTCTTAAGGCTTTGATCTTTGATACAGGCATGCAGTGTTTGCAAATTACGTGGATCTTGTGATAAGGCTTATGTCATTCCAAAAGCTGAGGAAGCAGCTCGTACCGTTGATGTTGTGCGCATACTGCTAACTTATGCAATAGATCCAGCCACCCTATCTGGAGAAAATTCTGTTGGTGGGGGTGTGCAAGAATCTGCAAGGAAGCTTCTCTCAGATATGACTATGCTTTGTGACACAACAATTGATCCATCTCTTCCTAAACCTGTAATTCACACTTATAGCAAGCAGGATTCATCAACCAAACCTGACAAGGGCAAACAATCATCTAGGGTATCAGCTGGAAAGGGTAGAGAAACGGCTGTGACTGAAATGAAGAAGGGTGACTGGCTTTGCTCGAAGTAAGTCTGTTAATCTCTAAATTAATCGACTGTTATGCAGCTTATGCTGCTCTACCCTCTTTTTTATGAACCTCGGGTCTGATTTTCTTTATGTTGCCCTGTGAGATTGCTAAGTTGGATGATTTTGTTACTGCAATGCTCATATGAGAGCATCATGTATTATGATCAGTGATTTTCTCAACTCATGCAACCTAGGGTCCAGTACCATCACTAGCACCAGTTTTTTCTTTGGACAGATGTTACTACTTTTGAAAAAATATGTTACTACTTCATTCACATTACATAAGGCCATCTCTAGGGCTGTAATTAGATATGGTACTTTCTTAATACCAGTTGGATGATATTAAACTAATTTATCAAAAAAATCCATTTCATGGTAGTGGTTTATATCCTCATTTACCACTAAACACAAGACAGTTTGTGCTTTTCTTATGACTGCTTTTCCATCTGATCCAGTATTTGTACTTTCAGCGTTTAACTTTGCCCAATTACAATGTATTCTTATGTACTTTATCCAATGGCTTACAATGTCATTGTAACCTTTTCTATGTGAGGAAAACATGAATACTCCCTCCGATCCATATTACTTGTCGCTCAAACGGATGTATCTAACACTGAAATACGTCATACATCTGTTTCAGCGACAAGTAATATGGATCAGAGGAGTACTAGATTTTGGATTGATTGTCTGTAACATGATATAATTTGCTGTACAGCCAAGTCTACTTGCATCTCCAGTGATACTCTTCGTATGGATATTTGAACCAAATCTAGATGTATCTATTATTGCTTAAGAGCTTGAAATACCTGTTTGCAAAGCGATATGTTATGTTGTAATAGGATTTCTGACTTCCTAGAAATCCACATACTATCTGATAAAAGTTTGGGAGGGATCCCAGAGCAAGGTCAGTCGGTTTTAGTTAAAATTAGTTGTACCTAATAGGCCGGTTTATATTTTTTATTCATGCGTGCATCCAAACAGGCTGGGATGCCAGGTTTGTTACATTTTCCTGGATATGTTATGTAGTGTAAAATGCTTCTGTGTTCAATAAAAAATCTTAGGTTTTGAAGTGAATGTTGAGTTAAATGGTTGATTTGCACCAGCCAGTACTAGCCCTTGGTGGCATTGTTCAGAAAGGCACCTCTTAGGCGCTAAGCGACAACCAAACATGTAACCTAGGGCAAGAGCAGGGCTCTAGGCAGCCAGTGAGGTTTTCTGGCAAGGAATCGACCTCACCGGCGAGGAATTATGGGGAGGGTGTAGCCAGTGTGGGGAGAGAGAACACCCAGAGGCTCTGGTGAGGCGAGTTAGTGTGGCGGTTGGTCGCTGGCGGTTCGTTGTCGCCGCTATTGCTCATTCAGTCATGCTTGCTGTATATGGTGGCGGGCCTTCTTTTCTTTCTTTAACCTTTTTATTTGGCCTTCCACACCGTCAGATTTCTCCCTATGAGCTCTCCAGGAAGAAGCTGCTGGTTGTGCTGACGACCGCCTAGGCATAGCCTAAGTGGGCTAGACGCTAGGTGACGGCAAGCCTAGCACTTTGTTGAACCTTGCTTGCTGTATTTTTTAATAGAAGGAAGCAACCTTGGTACTCACGCAGGTAGCCAACTAACCAGTGCTCAGCTCTCTCGCTAGGTTCAGAATCTGTGCAGATTTTGTTTTGGTGGATCGTAGAAGCACCTCTTATGGGGTATGCATTGGCCGGGTTTGATTTTTTACAAGACTAAAAGTTCATGATTGTGCGAAAAGCTGGCGTTAATCAGTGGCCTCTCTTGTTTGCTGCACTGATTTCATATAGTATTATTTTCTTGCACATGTGGAAGGATGATGTACTGTTGGCTGCTGATTATGTCTTGTTAATGGACTTCTCTGTAATTTTGCCAGCTGCAACTTCTTAAATTTTGCTCGAAATCGTCAGTGTCTTGAATGCAAAGTAGATGGACCAAAGAAGATAGAAGCAGCCACCAGTGAAATGAAAATGGGAGATTGGATCTGTCCAGGGTAATTATCTGATCTCGTATACATTTTTCCCTAATGTTTCAGCAGCGCTCCTTTGTCCATACTCACTTGTTTGCGCTTTCAGGTGCGCTTTTATGAACTTCTCTCGCAATAAGATGTGTTTTAAATGTGAAGGACAACGGCCAAAGAGGCAGCTCAACCCTGGAGAGTGGGAATGCCCCTCGTATGTGCTATCCACGTCCTCTTTGTGACTCTTCCCTGCTTATAACAAACTAATGAGAAATTACCTCCCTTATAGATGTGATTTTGTTAACTTCCGACGGAACCAGGAGTGCAAAAAATGCAGCCATGACCGCCCCGAAGACGATACCCAGGATAATAAGCTTGGATACGATGTGTGGAGGAACACCAAGGGAGCTGGCAAGGATAGAAGCTTTGACTCTGTTCATCAGGGAGACGACGACGGCGATGAAGAGGGGTTGCCATACAAGGGGGAGGACCGCAGGCATGTAGCGAGCAGAAGGGCGTCACCAGCCCGGAGGGAGTTCGCGGGCAAGAGTAGGAACCATGGCGACGAAGACAATGCCTTGCCATACGAGGGGGGAGACAGGCGTGTGTCGAGCAGAAGGGCCTCACCAGCCCGGAAGGGATTCGCGAAGAACGACGGTGGCGATAAGGATGTCGAATTCGATGTCTCGCCATATGATGGGGAGCGCAAGCATGGATCGAGCAGAAGGGTGGCGCCAGGTCGGAGGGGATTCACCAAGGATGAAGACGATGTGTTGCCGTACGAAGGGGCGCGCAAGCATATGGTAAGCAGAAGGGCAACCCCATCCCAGAGGAGATTCACTGCCGCTAGAGGAGAATAGGCAGTAGTTATACACCATTGATGCCTTTTCTTGTAGCAGATATGATACCGTATTGCGCATATTTTAGCTGAGCACAAGTCACGAAATAATATCGATTTTGGCAAATTACTTTCCTTCTTGGACTTTAGAAACGGTATTGACAGCCTTCATGTATACACTTCTGATGTGTGAGATAATCAGAGTAGTTAAAAACAACTGTTTCTTGGCGAGGTATACTTGTTGTGCACACCAAGGATGACCATGCCTTGTACTACTCTTGTGAAGTGACACAGGCTGAAGGGGCTTAAAGATTGTATCAAAAAGGAATGTGCACAACAACATCAACGTCACCGGAGATTACAACGAGAGCATAACATGCTCCGCAGATGTCGCACAAGGAAATTGGTAAGGAGATTTACGGAAACTGTATCAAAATCTGCACTGCAAAACTGTCTCCATCCAGCTTTATTCTGAGAGTAAAACAAACGCACACACACATTTGACACTTCAAAAGACATCATCACCACCACGCCGAAATGACTCCAGTGATCCAGTCACAACGGCTATCAAGTCAGGCATCAGTCCGGAGCCTCAGATCGCTTCCCTGATGACAAGGTTGATGCCGAACGACGCCGTGCAGATGATCAACCCCATTATCGCCGGGAAGTTGAGCCCCCTGCAGAGTTCACCAAAGCGAAAAGGAAATCCGACGAAGAATGAGAACTGACTGGACAAAAAAGGGAATGAAATCCTTCTAGCAGTTATCATTTGGTCGTTTTATTCGGCATCATAAGCTGCAAATTTGGTTCAAGTGAACCATTTTTCACATTCAATTCAGAGCTCACGGCTTTGCTCCTAGTTACTACCATGTATAAAACCGGAGTGGTTGACATAGGACAGAAGCTTAGGTAGGATTGCAACATCACATCCAATTATCAATGCCTTGTACGTATTTCTTTAAGGAGGGAGTACTATCATATACTATCAATGAAATCAAATGGCCTGTAAAATTCCCAGGACTGAGAATTTCCTAAGAAACTAGTAGTAAAGCATGCTGGAAATCAAGTGGATCCATGTTGCTTCACGTCCACACAACGCCATCATCATCTGAATCATCGCTGAGCGAAAAGCAAACGTACCCAAGCTTGTAGCGGTTCTCCGGGACGCCGGTGGCGTAGCCCTTGAAGTAGAAGAACCTGGCGACGGTGTAGAGGAGCCCCAGCGCGGCGGCGACGACCGGGTGCTGCAGGCCGCCGAGCAGCAGCGTGGCGAAGAAGAGCGGCATCATCTCGATCGAGTTCTGGTGCCCCCTCTGCAACCCCCGCAACACAAATCCACAATAATTCAGCCAACTCTTGCTTGAAATCGATCAGCGGACGGAGAGGGCGGGCGATGGGGAATTAATCTGGCGGTGGCGGACGGACCTGGACGCAGTTGAAGGGCTTGGCGTCCTTGTTCTCCGACTCGGTGGCGTACATGGTGGGGTAGAACACCTTGTACCTGGAAGAACAAGCACCGGCACAGGACCGTCATCAAGCTCCAAAATCAAATTCTCCATAGGAAAAAATGGGCAAATCGATGAAGAAACACCTACTTCTTGCGGGCGGCGCCGACCTGGAAGCTCATCCAGAAGTTGAGGAAGGCGTAGGCCACCACGGTGAGCACCACGTAGCCGTACTCCTTGGGCAGCTCCACCGACACCGCCATCGTCGTCTACCTTCGTCGCTTCTCTGAAGTTTACCTTGGAAACTGAGATTGGATGGGAGAGGGAATGGAGTGGAGGTCTATCTTATAGGAGAGTGGAGAGACCGGAGGTGTATGCACTCCGGCCCAAGAAAGCTTTGACCGATTCCCTCCCTCGAGCCCATCTTGGCAACCCCACCTTTGTTCTTCTCGCTCTGTGCCTACTTTTCAACGAGGCATTGGATTTAATGTTGATACCAATTTCAGAAAAATAGTGATTTTAGTGAGATCATCACTGTTCATTCTATTGGAAATTTATCATCCATCCCAACCTCTTGAAAAAAACATTTGGCATTCCTGTCATGCAATTAAACAAACTCAAATTCAACTATGTGGTTTGCCGTCCCTACGTTTTTACGGTCTTGCTAGCAAATTTCAAAGAGGCCGACGACCCTCTTGTTTCCTTTCCTAACTCTAGGCGGTTAGGGCAAACTCCTTTATGTCTGGCACTCTGGCGGCCGATGGCGGGGAGCGGAATTCCTGTGCCTTCACTCTGGTTAGCAGTTTGTTAGGGTTTTTCAGTTCTCGCAGGCGCGATGCTTGGACGGATGTGTCTCTTCTTCTTCGAGTTTGTCCGTTTAGACGTAGTCGACAGAGCTATGGCATAGAGTCCTGCCATCTCCTTGGGGTGGTGAAGTTAGAGTTTATCGTCATGTGGCCAGATTTGAAGCCATGTGTTTCAGATCTATGCAAAGGTTCAACGATAACAATTGTGGCTCCAGTGCGCTGGTCCTTAGAGTAGGTGCATGAAGACTTTCCAGCTATAATCGACAAGGTCAAGCCAGCTCGGGTAAGGGAGGAGCGACAATGGCGTGTTAGCGGCTTGTTCTGACGACAATAGTGGTTGTTCGATGATCTTGAAATCTCAATGTAGTTTTTAGTATGTTTGAGATTTTTTGTACTTCCGATGAATCTTTATAATAGATCTGATCGTTTTTTGCAAAAAAAAAAACCCTTCAAAGAGGCCCTTAGTGAGATCCATAATGACGTTTGAAGACGATGGATAAGCTGGAATGGACAAGATCATTTCCACATGCGGAGACCGTTGCTGCTAGATTCTGCTCCAGTCAACCGGAGGCCTGCGTCACGCGTGACGTCTGCCTGAACGTCTCATCCCAAGAGAGATTGTTTAGTCATCTTGTTTGATTTCCTTTGTTTTTTCAGATGTGGGGCAGGTGGCCGTGGTTAAGAGCACGCATGGTGCCAAACGAGGGATCAATGGGAGTTAGAAATGACTTTTAGTTATCTTTTCTTATTGCAAACTCTGACTTCATGGCTTCAACGCTGATTTGCAAATTTGCTTTGGCATCCATTCGCAGATAGGGAAAACCAATCTATGGATACTGATTTAGAAACCGGTCATCCAACGCTACACGTATACATTTCAAGGCATGTTTCAACAAATCGGACAAAATTCATGCAAATACTATGAATTTCATTAAAGTTCCGATATAATTTACATAGAACAGATGATATTTCGGCCGTTTTATTGAAAACTCTATAAAAAAATTAAATCCTATACAGGATGACTACCTTGTACGTGCGGCCGCTCTATCCTGCCGCATCGTTGTTGGCATTCGTGTCGTCGTCCGTCATGGGTGCAAGGATGCTGGAGGGCCGCGGCAGCCTTGTCCAGCAGCGCCAGGCCGGATGGGATTCACCAAGGATGAAGACGACGTGTTGCTGTACGAAGGGGCGCGCAAGCATGTGGTAAGCAGAAGGCCAACCCCATTCCAGAGGAGATTCACTGCTGCTAGAGGAGAATAGGCAGTAGCTATACACCATCGATGCTTTTTCTTGTATTAGATATGATACCGTATTGCGTATATTTTAGCTGAGCGATTCTAGCAAATTACTTCCCTTTTTGGAATTTAGAAACTATGTGGACAGCCTCATATATACACACTTTTGATGTGTGAGATAATCTGAGTAGTTAAACACAGCTGTTTCTTGGCGAGGTATACTTTTGTGGGCACACCAACGGTGATCATGCCATGTACTTCTCTTGTGAACTGACACAGACTGGAGGCTTAAAATTGTATCAGAAACAAATGCATACAACTGGGACCGAACCTAGCATTATGGAGGCCCTGATGCGATTGAGGCGCAATAAGCATTAACAAAGTAGTATCATATATACTTGTAACAATAAATATTGTATATCAAGAACAATATAAAGACATAAACATAAAAAAATAGTTCACAAATAAAGTCTGAATACATCATCTATTTATGATTATATGATGCAAATAATGATTATAATATACTCAACTATAAATAACTATTAAATAAATACAACCCGATGAAGTGAGCTGAGGAGGGCGGGGGGTGGGGGGGATGCCCCCTATCCATGTTGATTTTATGTTATGCAAATGAATTTTTTTTTTGTAATTTATTTAAGAATGTCGATGTATTGGGTCCTTATTTAAAATGGGTCCTAGGCCGCCGCACCTTTTGCCATGGCCTAGGCTGGCCCTGCATACAACATCAACGTCAAAAACTGACCGCAGATAAGAACGAGCATAACATGGTCCACAGATGTCGCACAAGGAAACTAGCAAGGAGATTTACGAAACCGAATCAAAAGTTGTACTGCAAAACCTAAAACCTCGATGTTACAAACCGTCTCCATCCATGCTTATTCTCCGAAGAGTAAAACAGACGCACACACATTTTTGGACACTATAAAAGACACCACCACGTCTAAATGACTCGAGTCACAACGCCTATCAAGTCAAGCACATCAGTCCGGAACCTTAGATCGCCTCCCTGATTACAAGGTTGATGCCGAACGACGCCGTGCAGATGATCAGTCCGAATATCGCCGGGTAGTTGAGACTCCTGCAGAGTTCACCAAAGAGAAAAGGAAATCGACAAGATCAGAACCGCTTCGACGAAAAATGAGAACTGACTGGACAAAAAAGAGAATGAAATCCTTCTAGTATTTGTCATTTGGTCATGTTATTCGGCATCACAAGCTGCAAATTTTGTTCAAGTCAACCATTTTTCACTCAATTCAGAGCTCACGACTTTGCTCCTAGTTACCATGCATGAAACCGGAGTGGTTGACATAGGACATAAGCTTAGGTAGGATTGCACCAGCACATCCAATTATCATGCCCATCAATGGGCAAAAATTTCTTATGATCTTAAGTTAGATTTAATTTGGGATGGTGACCCACGCTGGTTCTTGTTGTCCGTTGTACTACATGATGTAACTCATTTGATGAGCAATAAACTTTGAGGGGTTCAAAAAAAAATTCATGGCCCTACTTTATGATGCAATGCGAATGGATCTCCATCTCGCCCTTTTCTTTTGAGATAAGAATGAATCTTCACATACCGGTACCTACCAAGGTTCACCTATATGAATTGCACCATGCCGAGAACTTGTTCTGACCTACTCACTGCATTAATGAGTTGAGTGTGGTTGACTAAGACTTCCTCCGGTCTTTTTTACTTCGTGTATTAGGCTGGTCATAGTGGGAGTAACTTAACAAGTAACATAGCGCATTTCAAAACAAGTTTGCTTATGTGGTATAGAGTTAACGAGGTAACATAATAGGTTACTGTAACATAACGCAACCCAAAGCAAAATGAATCTATGATGTAATAAATGCTATCATCTATGATACTACTTGTATGTTACCTTGCACTATGAAGGTAGTAACAAACACTAGTGTCATATGCATGACACTAGTCTAAGTTACTCCCCAATATGACTAGCATTAGATTTTGGTCAAGTCAAACATTGTAGAGTTTGACCAAATTTATATTAAAAAATATCAACATTTACAATGCCAAATATGTATACTATGAAACTACATTTCATAATGAAGCTAACAATATTGACTTGGCATGGTGAATGTTGATAATTTTCTCTATGTATTTGGTCACAGTAGAGATACTTCATCTCCGGTCAAAACTCATATGCAGACTAAAAAAGATCATAGGGAGTACTAGGATCATATATCAACGAAATCAAATGGCATGTAAAATTCCCAGGACTAAGAATTTCCTAAGAAACTAGTAGTAAAACATGCTGGAAATCAAGTGGGTCTCTATTGCTTGTGCACGTCCACATGGTGATCTGATTTGGACGCCATCCTCATCTGAATCATCGCTGACCGAAAAGCAAACATACCCAAGCTTGTGGCGGCTTTCCCGGACGCCGGTGGCGTAGCCCTTGAAGTAGAAGAATCTGGCGACGGTGTAGAGGAGCCCCAGCACGGCGGCGATGACCGGGTGCTGCAGGCCACCGAGCAGTAGCGTGGCGAAGAAGAGCGGCATCATCTCAATCGAGTTCTGGTGCCCCCTCTGCAGCGCCACAACACAAGTCCACGGGAATTTAGCTAACTCTTGTTCGAAATCAGCGGACGGAGAGGGCGATGGGGACAGACCTGGACGCAGTTGAAGGGCTTGGCATCCTTGTTCTCCGACTCGATGGCGTACATGGTGGGGTAGAACACCTTGTACCTGGAACAACAAGCAGCGGCACAGGATCGTCGATCAAGCTCCAAAATCAAATTCTCCAGAGCAAAAATGGGCAAATCAATGAAGAAACACGCACTTCTTGCGAGCGGCGCCGACCTGGAAGCTCATCCAGAAGTTGAGGAAGGCGTAGGCGACCACGGTGAGCACCACGTAGCCGTACTCCTTGGTCAGCTCCACCAACACCGCCATCGTCGTCTACCTTGGTCTCTCCGCTTGGTTTACCTTGGAAACTGATTGGATGGGAGAGGGAACGGAGCGGAGGTCTATCTTATAGGAGACCGGAGGTGTCTAGACAAAGTCCCAGATTGTAAGTTCCTGCCCTCCGGCTCAAAAAAGCTTTGACCGGCTCAATAATGGGCATGCCTTGTTGAAAAGTAGGGACAGAGGCACAGAGCGAGATCACCATTGTTCATTCTATTGGAAATTTATCATCCACCCCAACCCCTTCAAAGAAACATTTGCTTTTCTTG